TGGACCACACCATAGTCTACTGGCAATACATTACTAGTAATGTCATTAATGGAAACAAGTTGTGATCTGTTACAAAGGTAGCTTTGGAACCATGCAAGTGAGTTGCCGTGAATACCAATGTCTTCCATTTTTCTCAATAATTTTGAACGGTCAACAGAATCAAATGCTTTTTTTAAATCAAGAAAAATTAATAATGGATGATTTTTTTCTGAAATCGCAGAATTTAATTCTTTATTAATATCGAACAACGCATCTGAAATATTTTTGTCCTGACGAAACCCGTACTGACGCTCACTGAGTATGTTATTGATTTGTAAGTAAGTAACTAATTGGTCTTTCACCACTCTTTCAATCACCTTAGTAAAAACACTAAGCAAGGAGATTGGTCGGTAATTAGTTTTATTTGTGATGTCATTTGATTTGTATAGAGGAAATACTTTGGCTAATTTAAGACATTCTGGGAAGGATCCTGTGGTGATACTCAAGTTAACTATATGTAAAAGTGGCTCCCACAAAATATTAAAATTATTTTTTATGACGTCGGCCGATACACCATCATAGCCCGGAGCAGACCCTCCCCTTAAACTGAAGACATAGCGCCGGAGATCTAGTTCAGTGATTGGTTGAATCGTAAAGTCGCAATCAAGGCGGTAGTCGGAGTCATTCATAACTGGGTCCCCACTATAATCAATTGCGTCAGCGAGTGATTTACCTACTCCAGAAAAGAATCCATTGAACTCATCTGCTACTCGTTTGTATGATGTAGAAATCGGAGATTGTGAGCTAGAAACAAATTTTTCAATAGGAAACGGTTCTTTTTTATTTACCCTGCCAGCCAGTTCATTGATTAATCCCCATAGCTTCTTGGGATTCTTAGATGCTTCATTAAGTTTTGATCGGTAATAATTCCGTTTTGTTTGCTTTAAGTTAGTATTAACATTTCTCTTTAAATTATGGTAAAAATGTTTCAATTCTAAATTAAAGAGTTGTCTTTTTACTCGTTTGCTGATTTTATCTCTAAATCTGATCTGTCTGATTAAGTCAACGGTTATCCATGGTTTGAGTTTATTGAGCCTTGTTGATTTGTTACCAACTGATTTCTTTGAAGAATTTATACAATTAACAATTATATTACTAAAATGGCTAGAACAAAAATTAATGTCGTTTGAGTTTAAAACAGGGGCCCAGTTAGAATGTGTCAGTAGGTATGATAGTAACGCATGGTCTATGTACGTGTGTGGTGTAGTGTCTTGTGCCGAGTAAGCAGGTTGTGTCGTAGTGGGTTTAGTGATAGTAAGGCCAGTACTGTAGTGATCGGTGATGGTCGTTTGAATTACAGCTGATTTGATATTGCATTCATCATTATATTTCACAAAAATGTGATCCAAGCAGCTCTCCGATACCCCAGACACTCTTGTAGGTTTATCAATACATTGTACAAACCCACCTCCCAATAGACAATCCAAATATTTTTCAGTTATACAATCTCTTCTAATTAAGTCAAAATTAATGTCTCCCATAAAAATACAGTTTACATTTTTATTGATTCTGTTAAAATGTTTTTCAATTTCATTCACAAAACAATCTGGGTTACTATCAAAGGTACGGTAAACTGCAAGTATTAACATTTGTTTTTTATCAAACGAAAAAGCTATACTCAACCCGTAAACATCTCCCAAAGTAACCTGTGTTGCCGTAGCAGAAAGTCGTTTGTTAGTGTAAACAATGACTCCGTCATTTTTGTTTTTGTGTGTATCAGTCTGGTGCATGTCAAATCCGTCCAAACCGGTTCCCTCCCCTCCCTCCCCCAGCCAACACTCTGTCAACACTATGACATCTAGAGAAGCAATAAAATCATTTAAATAAACTAGCAACTCATCAGAGTTTTTATTGAAACTTCTAATATTGGTTTGAAAAATACATAAACTATCCGCCCCAGCACCGTGATCATAAAAACCAGAATATTCTGAAATGGAACTTAACTCTAAGCAGTCAAATGATTTATCTAAATTATCATGAGCAGTGTCACACAGCATAGTCATTGCATCTGTCTCCTGTCTGCAAATGTGTATTATTAAACTATTGAACTATTGTGCCATAATAGTAAGAAAAATAATGTAAAATCTTATAATCAATTTTAAAATTTTGTATCAAACGTAAACAATTAAATCACATTAAAAACTAAACTCCAGTATTGATATAATAGATTGGAATGAATTATAATGAATGATATAAGGTGTAACTTGATTTCATAATATATAATGATGTTATAAGCAAATGACAGTTACCTTATTTTAGGGTTATATTAACCAAAAGAGATTGAAGCTTTTAGCGTGAGACCATTTTAACTGGGTAAAATGATTGGATTATCTGACAATGATCGATCTAAGTATCGATCTATGTATGTATGAGAGTAGCGAGTACTTCATTTTGACTGGGTTTTATTTTATCCGTATTTTGTTATCAAGCTTTCTTGATAAAATATAACAATTATTTTGATTTAAAATGCCAATATTTCAAAAACCAAATATGACAATGAAAAACTGATTGCGGCATTGAATTCAACATAAAAAGTAGTTCACAATGAAGGGTCACAACACCACCTTCATATTTAAAATAATTTATCATACTTCAAAATGGCGGATCCAAGATGGCGGCTGAAAAAAATACATCCGTCATAACTGAGTGAAAATAGGCCAACAATGAATGGTGGTGTCCACTTATCTTTATCTAGCACTATTTTGAGATTATGGCCTTAGTTTGTAAATGCACAATGTTATAATGGACTAAAAATAAAGTTATAAAAAGTTCTCATAACTTTAGAATGGATCAACATTTTTTTAAACAGATTGCAGCATCGTATTCAGCGTAAAAGTCTTGTTTGAAACAGTGGGTCACAACCCTACCTTAACATTTGAAAAAATAACTTTTTATCCAAAATGGCGGATCCAAGATGGCGGCCAAAAATTTAAACCCAGTCAAAATGAAGTACTTGCTACACTAGAATGATCTGACATGGTTTAAAGTTGATAGATTAAGAAATGTATAAAAAAGTAGGGGGGGGGGGAACTCATTTAAAACTCACCCTGTATAAAACAATTCACAATTATTTTCCACATAATTTTTTTTAGTTTTGAACAGCCACCATTTTGAAATGACTTGATGAAACTTGACCATTTTCAACCCAGGCCGAGATAATGTATTCAAGCACTTGTGTGCCAAATTTCATTGAAATCGGTTCAGGCATTCGGTCGTTATAGCCAATTCATGGGGACCCAGCATCCTCTTACGGCCGCCATTTTGATGACGGCATTACGGACGACCGAGGTCCTTAAAAATTGGGGTCTGGGTGGTTTTAGGTTCAGAAACTTGTATACTATAACCACCTAAAATTGCAGCCTCTCTGCCAGAACTGAAATATTTTCCTGCTACCCAACCTGACTAATAGGCCTAATCAATATATTTTATTTTTGCCCAAGTAACAACAGAGCTAAATTTGTAATATACAAAATATTACAAAATATATAACGTAGGCCTATATAAATTTTTTGTTCTTTAAATTTATATAGGTTAATCTAACAAAAGATTAGTCCTATTAAAAAAATGACATTTGGTAAAATATAACAAATACCTATTTCTAAATAGGCCTATTTACCTCATGGCGAGAATGTGTGAGTGCTGATCAATATAAGTAACAACGTCAAGAGTTTCTCCATTTTCAGAAACTCGAAGCTTTATTTCAAATGGGCACTGCTGTCTAAATGTCCTAAATGGCTTCAGTAACTGAACGTTCTGAAAATTCCCTTTGCATTATTTTGTAATACCTGGAACTGTAACTGAATACTGTAACTGGATCTGGAACGGGAACGGGAAGTGGAGCATTTTGACGTGCGAATAGTCACTTCGTTACGTTGCTTTATTCACATTGGTGAATTATTGAATTAGGTTTGTGTTTTATTAACGAAAGGTTTTAGCAGTTAAGTGTTATTGAGCTTAGGTAAAGATGTCTGTCCAAAATCAAAGCATTTTTGAAAAAATATATCTTTTATGTAACTTCAACGTCAATAAAATGCTTTATTTGCTTTGCTACAGTACCATGTGACATGCTGTAATCGTCTTTAGCCTATTCACTTTAATTATAGTTAGGGATACAAATGTATTGTAGCCTATATTTTAAATAACTAAATTATTATTGAAATAAAATTGAAACCGTTTGAATACTTTTACGGTATTTTGAGACGTGTATGTCGCTTGATATTTTCTTACCACTTATCTGAGTTAAAAGCCAGTGAATGACATCCAACTATGGAGTATAGTTGAATTATATTTCTAAAGATTTTGACCAGCATTTCAATATAAGTATAATAAGTACCAAATATTGAAATATGCATAGCAAACATTGTCATTTGTACCATCAAAATTTACGGAGGTGGATGGTAGGATGGTGGACTCAGAACTCCACGACAGATTTTGGTAGGACAGGTCTTAGCCAGTTTGGGGGGGAATTTGCATCATAAGCCTTGGGGGGGATGGGCACCCCTGACAAAACATACAATAAATAGTGTAAGCTTATAAATACTATTTACAAATACTTTACCTAAGCAAAACAATAAAGAAAATAAAACTATATATAGCTGTATACGTTCATAAACAGTTCATCTATAGATTAGATGATGGGCTTTTCTACAAAAAATTCTTTGAGTTTTTGTCTTAACTTTTTAATACCATTAATATCTTTTATTTATTTGGCTAGCAGCTTTAAAAACATCACACCAGAGTATGAGGGCTTAGTTTTGTACATTTCTAGGTTGTGTTTTGGTAAAACTATATTATTTTCATTTCTGGTATTGTATTTATGTGTTTCACATTGTAATTAAAATTTATCCTGATTATTTTTTACATGCACGATACATTCTAGTACATATAAACTAAACTCTGTTGAGGTTTTCAAAAGGATGAACTTTGATCAACTGTATTAAAAGCACTTTGTTCTTGCTAAGGTTGACAATGTGGGACAGCTTGTGTTGAATACACTGGGTGAAGCAGAGGCAGCTCACCGCAAAGTCCTCACCGTTAATGACGTTACACAAGATGAGAGGGGCCTGCGAGAGTTGACACAGGTAAACTTAACACACTCTAAAAAATCACCATTAGAACAAATAAAATAAATTTTTTTACAAGTATTAAAATATATTTAAATTAAAATTTGCAACCAAAATTTTGAACTTATTCAAAGAAATTATCCTGGATACACATTCACATTGAGTGTCTTTTTTTCCTTTTGTTTAAATGTAATAGGTTTATCATATGACATCGCAGTAGACCCTTTTGAACTAAAATACTAGTTCAATCACTTAGCCAGAATTTTTGAAAATAAATTCAAAAAATATGTTAGGCCTAGGTTATGGCTATTTAATTTTATTTCCACATATAAAAAAACATTTTTTTCCACTCAGCCGCGCGCCCCCTGGGAGCTTGCGCCCATAGGCCTATTTGGAAATCCGGCCCTGTCTGTATTGGAAAGATATGATAAGGGAGACAACAATATCAACCGAAATACCTTTAAAAGTTTATATTTTAGTTCAAACACATTCAATCACTAAAAAACATGGTTTTATACAGTTACAAGTCGATAGTAAAAGATTCGGGAGTTGCGGGCAGATAAAAGATTTTGACTCTTTCTCCATAATATACTATGTATGGGGGAGAAAGTAAAATTAGTCAATTACTCGACCTATTCATTTATTAAAACCCATTTAAAATAACTCGTCTACCTCCAAACTCGACAATCTCTCGGCCCACTAATGGTCGAGTTAGTGAAATTTTACGTACCACCACCCCAACGACCAAATCAAAACATTTCCAAACAAAATATTCAAGCTACCTACAAGGATTGCTTTCAATTGTTTTTTTCAAACATAATTCTCCATCGCTTTTTGACCCGACGAGCAACTCTGGGTTTCGCCGCTAGACGTTATTCACTCTTGAACTATCCCAGCAGTACTTTACAAATCTAAATCCAGGAATATGAATTATAATTCAACCTATTGCCTAACAACTTCACCACATAAGCTAAACTATGCTGAACACACTGGAAGAATTATTCAGTGTAAACAAATCCTTAAATCAATGATAGATTAGTGGAGTTGACTGTATTGGTCATTCCCACTCCCCAGTAGATCTTTGGTACTGTTAATCTTTGGTACTTTTATAGGGAGAATTCTACAGAGCTGCTGTCAATCTAACTGGACGTCTCCTCAACATTTACGGACAGGGTGTAGGCAAAGCTGGAATGCCCAGTAAACACACTGTTCACTCAATACAAGTGAGTCTTAAGCTAATAGAATGCAATCATAGAAATTAGGGTTAAAGATAAGTCCACAAATATCTGTAGTAAACTCTAGCCACATTTGATGTGTCTTAATATTGAAAAGAAATTAAAAAGATAATATAAAATCAAAATAAGAAAAGCGATCTTAACTTTTGCTGAAAAGCCTCTTATGAGAACAAAAAATGAGTTTATATAGTATTTGAACCAAGGAGAATTAAGCTACAAAAAGTGGAACTGTCAAACATGCAAAATATATATTCTATTATGATAAATAAAACTCACAACCTTTTATTTACGTTGTACCGATCCGATTTACACGATTGCTAGAGCTAATTGTATTTTTATGATGGAATATGCAAATTATTACATTAACGTCCATTTAGTTTATGAGTTGAAAATAACTGTTTTATGTCATGTTGGATTAACCGTGGTTATCAGTTATCCGTGGTCTGTTCAAAATACAGTTTTACTACGTTTTTATGTCAATAAACGCATTCCTCTGATAATCCGACCTTTTTGCTGTTCCGACCATGCTCCCGGTCCCGTAGATGACGGATTAGCGAGGTTCTACTGTATACAGAAGTTTGCCAATTTGATCCCGAGAAAAGCCAAACTCCTTTTTAATGGTTTGAAACTGGACCGAGCTGGCTAAAGAATCAGCTGATCTTAGTCATTAACAAAGATGTCTTCTCATCCATTCACCCTGGTGAGCGGGTGTCATATAAAGCTAATATAATATATTTTGGCTGTAGCTAGGGGTGGTGAGGTGAGGCCTACTATTATTGTGTTTTAAATAGAGATGGATGAATCCTAACATTTCGGGAAATTTTTGCGAAAAACATGTATTCCTGTCTTTGGGGTGGGATAACATTTAATTCGGCATTATTCATTCCAACCGTCAGCGATTTTGCCTTGTAGCGAGTGATGACGATGATGTCTCTGCAACCGCAGAAAATGTTCACGATTTCGCTAATATGACCGACTGGTGACAATAATTATGTTTCTGCAATCGCGGTAAATGTTCTTGATTTGACAATGATGATATCTTATGGAAATGCCACAAATTCAGGAGTTGATGATAACATCTCAGTGACTGCGGGAGAGGTTCACGATTTTGGATAAAACATCAAAAATCAAACCTAAAAATTTGTCTTTTAGAAATACTGCAGTGAAATAAACATGATTAAAAAGTTTAGAACTCACTAATTTGCACATTACTGTATTTTTTCAAGAAAAATCCCCCCACACACAACCCCTTTGATGTGTGCAAATTTCTTAGTTTCACCAACATTTTCCCTTGCTACGGCCCTGTTTGTGAGGATAGCAGGGTTGTCTGAATGGGAAAGAGAAACTCATAATTTACACTTAATACATCGTTAGAATATTTTACTGTCACTGACAGCATTGTTAACTAAGGAAGGAGTTAGTTGAAGAGAAAGTGCTACTAGTAATATCATGAAAAGAACTTAAAATGATGACAGTAAATCAAAATGAGGAAAACGATCCTAACTTTTGCAGAACAAGGAGGCTGATTTATTCTGGGTAGTTGTAGCATTTTTTCTTCAACTCATACCTTCCTTAAGGATGTAACATAGTGCACTTAAGGGCCTAGGTTATTAGGATTTTTCGTGAGGATAGCAGGATTAACTGAATGGGAAAGAAACCAAACTGGCAAACACAACACTTCACCAAACAAAAAACATTAGATAGGATAGAATATTTCACTGTCACTGAGATGAAAAAATCATACCTTCCTTAGTTGAAAATACCATCAATGTTTTGCGTATAGTTAAAAATATAATTGTGTTTCTTGTGCCAGATTGGACTCTTTTGCATTCAGGTTAGCCTGCTATCCTCCTAGTCCTTTGTTACTTACTACTGTCCGTCACAGCTGTGGTTCACAAGATTATCACTACTGGTAAAGTTGCGAGAGTTGAACATCGCCGACACAGAAGCTGCAGTGTGGTGGGACTGTGATAGGCCAGACCTCTACTACCAGTTCTATCCTGAATTGTATGGAGGTAGGATGGGTACGATGATTCCATTCCAGATGAGGTTACTGCTAGCCTCGCTACCAAGTCACTGCAATCGTCACCACGAGGCACTTCAACGGCTGTTCTCTGTGCTTGCTACGGTTCGCAAGGTAAAAGCATTTTGTCTACAGTTATCACAAAAAGGGGCATTTCGCTCACCAGAATTAGTTTGAAAACAGCTGATTTCAGTGATTTCTCAATATTTTACTTTGCGTGTAGTGTTGTTTGGATTTTTTTTTATTGGGCTTATTTAAACATAATAATTCAGGCCCACTTTTATAATCGGGCAGACTGGGCATATGGCCAGGGGCACCGAAGGTTTGGGGGCGCCCACCGGGTGCCCCTCAACCACCGCCTGCCTGCACTAGGAAAAATTGGGGGCACTGCTTTTGGGTTTGCCCAGGGCTCCACTGTCCCTTAACGCAGCCCTGTAATAATTATCAGCAGTAACAGGACATATTAAATTAAATAGTAGATTAAATGGTAGATTAAATTAATTCTATCATGTAAAATGTTATAAAAAACCATCATCAATAGTTATTTGTGCAACTAGTTAGTTATCGATTGCACTTTGCACTCGAGTTGCACATTATATTTTTCCTACAGTTACCATAAAACAAATAAATTGGTAAAGAAACGTGTCTTCACGTTGCAAATCTGGAGTGAGACAAAGTAATTAGAGTGAGACAATGTTAACATGTTAACATGACAATGTTTCACTGATGAGCGAATTGGCCACTTTGCTTTCTCAAATCAGTGAGAGAACATGTACATTGTTAGGTAACTGTAGGAAAAAATAAGTTTTGTTAAAAAAGGTAATAATGAATTCATGGAGATGATTAACAATAGACAATAGACAATAGACAATGCTCTTTATTTACATATTCGTGGGAGAATAGTACATGCGTCAATACAAAATATTTTAGATTGTCAAAGTTTTGCAATGCACAAGATTTTTCTTTTTTAACAGTACAGTATACGAAGAGAAAGTAGTTTTCATTTGCTGAGTTTTGAAGTTGGCAATGTCATGGTTTATTCTGTCATCTCTACACCTTTAATGTTGTAAAAAAATTAACGGAGCTCAGTAAAAAAAAAAAAAAAAAAACACAACCTCAATGTTGTAAAAACGTTTGTAATTGTATTGTTAAACATCGTTGTATTAAATTATGTTATATTATATTTTGTTACTGCTGAAGTAAGTTTTCTCATATTATAATATAATTTGCAATTTTTGTGCAATAGTGATGTGTTGAAACCGAATCTCGAAACCACCGATTCTTAGGAAAAGTTTCAGTTTTGAGATTTGATCGGAAAGTTTAGAGATTCGAAACTCAAACTGAAACTGCCAACACCCCGAAATAGTGTCATTATTATTGTTGACAATAGAACATACGCCGCAAATCTCCTGCCAAGGTCATTGGTTGTCTGCCTTCGCTAGTGACGTTGTGGATACAAACATAATTCCCTTTCCTTTCCCCTCTTAACCTCAAAACATTGCACAATATCTGTCATCTGTCGTCAAACATCACTACTGACATTGTGGATTAAACTGTATTGATCAGCTTGTGGGCTTCACTCACCTTAATTTGTTAATCCAGGACTCGTCAATGTAACACAACGAAGACACACAACACACACATACACGCACATAAAAAATCGTCCTTGGATTTACTCCGACGTTTCACGGGACCAAAAATAACGTCCCGCTTCCTCAGGGAATTAAAAACTTTTTTCTCTCGTGTACACGAGCTGAACACCTAACCACGACTGCCGGATCAGCTGTTCCTGGTGAGGGAGGGAGGGCAGGGGGGTTGGTGGACGTACTGGTTATTGTAGATAAGCCTTTGACATCCTTGGCCTTGTCTCTCAGCTGTTCTAGTTCAGTAGTTCTTCTTTAATTACTTGTAAATAAACAGCACTAATGTCCACCGATGGTCGTGATAGAGGCTCGTCTTCAATAGCCATAAATAGCGACTCTGCCATGTTCCGTTTCCTCCAATCCGGTTCTTTGTATAGAATTTTGCTGGAATCCCATTTTACTGTATGATTTGTCTCTAATGCATGTTCACAGATTTTCGAGTCATACCTATCTTTATTTTTAACCTTTTTAATGTGTTCATTAATCCTCACCTTCACTGGCCTTGACGTTTGCCCTACGTAGTTTCTACCACACGAACAAGGAATTTTATAAACAATATTTTTTGTATTTTGCTGTTCATTTTCGGGTTTTAGTTTGGTTAGACGGCTATGAAATGTATCTTTACTTTTGAAAACGGTACGAATTTTGTATTTTGAATTTATACGCCTTAATTTTTCTGAGACATTTTTAACATATGGTATACAAACAGTAGTAATGGGGTTTTCCTCGGTGGTGGGTTCCAATTCTCTGGAGTTATTTACTTTGTTTAGGGCCTTATTAAAAATAGATTGGGGATAGCCACAGTTCTTTAAATTTTGTTTTATACTGTCTAGTTCTGTTTTAATGTTGTCGTTGCTGCAAATGGATTTAGCCCGTTTGATAAGACCGATAGCCAAGCCTGTTTTGACATGAGTTGGGTGATTGGAAGCAAAGTTTAGATATTGTCCTGTAGCAGTGGGTTTTCGGTAGACGCTAGTAAGCCAGCCTTGATCCAATTTCTCAACTAGCACGTCTAAAAATGGTAACCTATTGTCTTTTTCAAGTTCAATAGTGAATTGTATGGAGTCTAATTGATTATTTAGGTGGTCTTTAAATTTCATAAGCTCTTCCATTGAATCCTCCCACATACAAAACACATCATCTACATAGCTAGCCAGATTCTTGGTTTGGTTTGAAATTATCTAATTGCATCCTGCTCAAATCTATTCATAAAAATATTGCTTAAAATGGGGCTTAGAACCCCGCCCATCGCCATACCCTGGGTTTGCTCAAAAAATTCATTTTCAACTTGAAAGTGGTTTGACTTAGTACAGACTGTTAGTAGTTCCATAATGTTGGATATGGGGATCTTGGTTTTGTCTTCTAGATTGACATCGTTTTCAAGCTTTACCCTCACAATTGTCAAACAAGGGTTGATCGGAACGTTAGGGAATAAGTTTGTCACATCAAAGCTGACGAGGATAGTGCTATTGCTGGGTTTGTGTGGGTTTATTTTGTCAATAAAATCTGTTGAGTCTCTTATAAAACTATCAGATTGACCAAAGTAAGGTGTCAGCAATGGTAAGAAGAGGAACCTAGATAGTTCGTAGTAAGGTGAGTCAATTGCACTTACTATCGGACGCAGAGGAATGCCTGGTTTATGCAATTTGGGAAGGCCATACAAATGTGGAGCTTTACTAAATTGTGGGCTTAGTTGAAAAAATGTGCGATCTGTGACGAGAGGTTTAATCTTGGCCAGTTCCTTTTAGCGAATTTCCCATATAGGGAATAAGCTATTACCGTAGGTCTCATGGTAAGACCTAGACCCGGGACCGATTTACTTTTTCGTTTTGAGGTCCCCAGAGACCAAAAACACCATCCGTTCAAATTCATATATATATATATTTATATATGTGTCCGTTAGCGCGATAACTCGAGCAAAAATGATCCGATTTTGATGAAATTTGGTACAAACGTGTAAACCTACGTTTATTCGAACGAGTTCGCGAACCAGCATAATCGGACCATGGGAACAGGGGTTTATGGGGGGGGTTTTATGGGGTAAAAATGGGGTTTTCCCATTTTTTACCCTAAAAACAAAAAAATTTGCAATTTCTTTCTCAACCATTTTGTAGAGCTTAAAAAAAAATAATTTAGTATATTGAAGCGCTGTTGTATGCCTAACGGTCACAGAGAAAATTAAAAAAAAGTGTAATTTAAAATTCTTATGTTATTCTTATGGAGAAAATGAAAACTGTTGTAGTTTACTTGTTTATATATATATAGGCTATGTTGATAAAATTTGGCAAATTCATTTATTTCATCCTTTACTATTGACATATGGTAAAAAAAACACTTTTTACCTTCCCCGTAGCAGCAAACCTAAGCACTTGTTAAATCTAATGTTATTTAAATTGGGAATAAATATGTCTTATTTATGGAAATATTTTGGTAAAAATGTAATCAGACAAGTTGAAATTCGCTTAGTCTGCAGGTTTGCTGCGGCGGGGGTATTTAATTCTATTCTGGATTATGTTTGTTGGATCACGATCAAGTTTTTTGTATTGTCCTCCATTGATAAGGTCAGCTATTTTATTCTTGTAATCTTGTGTGTTCATCACAACTACAGCACCACCTTTATCAGACGGGAGTATGACATCCCCTTTTAATTTCCTGAGAGCAGAATTTTCATTGTTCTTTTCTTAACAGGTCATTGATAGATATTGTGTAATGTTTTGAGAGCGAAAATGGGAAGGGAAATAGATTATGTTTGTATAATCCATTAATCCACAATCCTATTTTTTAAAGACATGTTTTTAGGCGAGGTTTATTAAACTGTATTGATGAGCTTGTGGGCTTCACTCACCTTAATTTGTTAATCCAGGACTCGTCAGAATGTAACGCAACGAAGACACACAACACACACATACACGCACATAAAAAAACCTACATAAAAGCTGTTTTAAGAAAACAAATTAAACTTGTATTTTAACACAAATCGTACAGGTAAATTGCCATTCAATCACATTATTAGATTCTCAATTCAATTTTAAAATCAGCATTTGAGAAACGTTTTGAATTCCCGTAAGAAGTTAGAACAATGAAATCATGTTTGCAATCTGGGCTTGGGAAACAACCTGACGCACAGAGAGTCAATATTCATCTCAATGAATTAAACGCTTTCTTTTCTTCCTTTGGTCAAAGTATCAATCAAGTTACATAACTGAGTTAAGAAACTCCCCTGTACAAGAATTAGGATATCCTATGTTAACTTTCAGACCTGTACTGCAGTCTGGTGTTCTGAAATCTATTTGACGTATTCACCGTAATGCTATTGGATCTGATAGTATTCCAATTCGCTTTATTAAGGACAATTTTTCTATACTTCCAAATATCACCTGCATTTTCAACACATCTCTAAGGCAAAGCAAATTCCCATACAAATTCAAAATTTCATTGTTAGTCACATTCATATTATTATGTTAGGGTCAG